ATATACTCCCTTAGCTACGGCTAACCTCTAGGATTAGAGGTAACATACAACAAAAGGGGGGAACGTAGGACCAGAAATTTAAAGGTTAAAAACAAGATGCTGATTCTCAGCTAGAAACAGAACTGGGCCTCATGACTTAGATCAAAAAGAAAACATCTGCAACTGTGATATGCTCGGGCTGCACTGTGCCAGGGAGCTCAGAGATAAAGCCTGCTGATTACACTAATCAGGGTTGTAAAGTATGTCAAACCCGAACCATACAGGAATCAGGTGTCCTAAAGATAAGCTGTGCAGAACAAGACAGTTAATTAACTCTGACTTCTAAGGGGTAACGCTGGTCACCCCTTATGAACTAACCAATTACAAATAGACAGACCACCGGCTATCCCGCACTAACTGCTATGATTGGCTTCTGTATCAAACACTTGCTTTGCGGTTTTTTTTTTTTTCCCTTAAAAGCGCCAGCTTTGCCCCAACTCAGGGTTCTCTTTTCCCGCTTGTTCAGAGGACCCTGTGCACATGGAAAATAAAACCCCTTTGTTCTTACATGAGAGCTGAGTCCTTGAGGTCTCCTTCGCGAAGCCGGTCTTACAAAACAACTTAGAAAAAAAAAGAGTGTGAGAATTTACACTACCAGATATCGAGACTGGTTCCGGGAGAACATGGCGGACAGATAACAGCAGCTACGCAGGCTCTCTGAAAGACTTGGCTCAGAAGTCAGGAATGGTGCGGAGTAAGGAGACATAAGCCAGTGGAGATATGCTCTGCTGACCCAGGAACGAACTGGGCTGAGAGAAACCAACTTGGAATGCAGTCCCAGTGCTAGAACAGGAACAGAAAAGCCTCAGTGTGGAGGCTGGAGCCCATGCCATTGGAAGCTGCGATTTGGGTTTCCTGCCGCGCGGCGGCTGCGTCTACATCTGCTCGGCATGGAGAGAGATGCAGGGAAACTCTGCGAACGGGAATCTGCGAATGGAGTCGAAAACAGGACGGGCAGGGAGGTGTGCACTGACTTGTGGAGAGGTGAGTGAGAGAAACTGACACTCTACCACAGTTTGACTCCAGCGGAGGACATTCTGGGACTGGGCAGACTTGCGGGAGCAGGGCACGGTGGCGAATTCAACCACGTATCCCCCTCTCAAGCGGAATTGGTGAAACGTGCCTAGCCTATGTGACGCTGCTGGCAGACCCGGTAGGCTAGCCCAACCCAGATCCCAGAGCCTGAGGGTCGCCTGGAGGCGCGGGCCCCGTGTAGGCTGCCTGGTCTGGAACTTCCTGGGGTGCTGCGGTGGGCAGGAACACCTAACCGGCACAATTTGAACAGGCTGTGGCTGACAGGGAGGGAAGCTGGTCCTCCTATATAAGCTTGCATATATAAGGAACAAAGAATATGGGAAGAGGCAGCAACACGAAAGGCTCCTCGGCCCCCAATCCTGAGAAACAGGTAATAGCGGACACCGCACCAATAGACATAAAGCGCCATCTAGAGAGCCTCATAGATCAGTTTAGGAATGAAGTTATCAATGACCTGAAGCTAGAAGTAAGCAGAATAATTAGAGAAATGCTAAGCACCACCCAAGAAAAAACAGATGGTGGAATGGAAGAACAGAAAAAGAGGGGAGAATTGTTTGATGGAGAAAATAGAGAAAGCATAGAATATGTGAAGCAGGTTCAAAGGGACTACCAGGAAACTAAAAAGTCTATCGAAAACTGGCATAACAGCTTGAAAGAAACTAAGGACAGACTATCTGAACTGAAGGGCAGACTTGTAATATGGGAGAATGAAATGAAAAACTTCTTAAAAATAACAAAGAAACAAACAGCAATAATACAAAGACAAGAAGATGATAAGAGGATCCATAACTTAAGAATTAAGAACATAAAAGAAGAAGTGGGGACACAAACAAGTGAACTGCAAAAGCTACTCACAGAAATAATCCAGGAGAATTTTCCTAATTTAGCAAAAGATAAAGATACTCAGATTTATGAGGCATACAGGACCCCAGCTACCTACAAACCAAACAGAGCAACATCCAGGCATATAATAATAAAAATTCCAGAAATTCAATACACGAACAGAATATTAAAAGCTGTCAGAGACAAGAAATAAACCACTTACAAGGGGACACTCATCAGAATTACAGCAGATTTCTCTGCACAAACCATCAAATCATGAAGAGCGTGGGGGGAAATAATTCAAGCTTTGAAAGATAATAATCTCCAGCCAAGATTGAGATATCCTGCACAACTGTCCCTGGAAATTGATGGAAAAACAATGTGCTTCCAGGATAAAGAGGAACTGGGGGAATTTGCAACCACCAATTCAACTCTACAGAGAGTATTGCAGGATATTCTAAAAAAGAAAAATACAAAGAATCCAGAAATAGTGGTGGGGAGGCCACAACAAATGGAGCAGAGAACAAAATGAAGAAGACAAACTGACAGCTAATGACAGAAAAAGAGCTCAACAGAAATGAGGCAGAGAAGATTGGATGATAGGAACAGCTATTTTGGAGAAAATGACATCTTAATAGGTAATACTGATTTAGTATCATCTTGTTTTGAAGTCTCATCTAGCTTTTGTCCTTCTGTCTCCAATGGTCTAAATAGGTTGTATCTTACTGGATTTTATTATGTACGATAGTATAAGCAAAAACTTTTTAAAGACAAGGAGATTATACAGAAACCATTGTTCATTTTCTGTTGGTCGATTCTAAATACTCTGTAATGCTGTCATTCTCTTAAATGGTTTTACATTGTTTTGATATACTTAATGCTACAGTATACGAAGTTGTACTCAAGGATTTCAAGGAAAGAGACAATATGGTAACTACTTTTGGGTTGGGATTATCTGGTGGTGAAACACTATTCTACTTAAATGGTTATTTTTTTATCTGCGCTGTTTTGCTGTTATGCCCTCTTTTATCTCAATCTCCACTCCATTATTTACTTTTTTATTTTTATCCATTTAATTAATGGAAAAAAATAGCAGGATATATTATATTAACCCACTTTGACTTTCCATTATCTTGATTTGAAGCCCTGCATTACTCTCACCATCTTGTTTTTGACTGATGTTCCCCTATTCTGTTTTGCTGGATAGTACCAAGTTTGAAAGTTTAGGCATCAGCTGTGAAGATAATGAGATTCATTATAACGCCCATTCTCATTGACTTTTATCTACTTTTGAAGACCTACAATGTCTCCAATGTTTTGGTTTTGTCGGTTTTGTTCTTTACTGTTTTGTTCAATTGTATTATAACTAATGATATAGGCAATTCTATTAGAGATAGCGGGAGGCATTATGGTAACCACTGTTGATCACCTTGTATTATGTTTTTACATTATCTATTATGTCCACCCTTTTGACTTGACCGATTCTGTTCTGTTATGTCACATTTGGTTTTACTCTCTTCCAAAAAAGTAATAAGAACCGTGGGAGCAATGAAACCCAAAATGTGTAATAGTCATTGTACAAAAGAGAGGAAAAGAAAGTGCTCTAAACTATATAACTGCATGTATATTTAAGTGTATGAGATTGAAAATGATATCACAGAGTTTCATTGGATCATTGAACAGAACTGTTTGCAGTATCATTGTTGGAATGTCCACTTCACAAGCTTTAATTTTGTGACTTGAACAATTATTTCTAAGATGACAATATGTAATCCATTAACTAGTGATTTCCTACTGTTCATTTTTTTCTGTAAATCTGTATAACTTGTACCCTTTCTCTGCTTTTTTTTCTTTTCTCCTTAAATAAAATTAAAAAAAGAAAAAAGAAAAAAAAAGACATTGCCATGGGCTCTAAGCCTGCAGTTGGACTTGTGGAGGGCATTGCCATGGGATCCAGGCCCTCTTGTGTCTCTTGTGTGGGCGGATCTCTTGAGCTCTTCTACATTTGACTCTTTGGGTGCACATTACAAAGTAACCCTGTAAATTATGTGTCCCATATATCTTTTCTCTTGAAAACCCTGACTGCAGCAGGAAGGTTCCAGGGGCAAAGCTAGAAAGGTAGACACTGCCAGATAAAATTCCCCTCCAGAAAATAACATGAGCAGAACCCAGAGACTGCGGGTGCAGTGGCCAGGGGTGGGTTTCTTTTCAGTTTTCCTAGAATGCAGAAGTACTCAGAGCCTGTGGGGGAGCGCTTGGGGTTCTTCCAATGACTGTGAGACTCGGGTCTTCACCCAGAGGGGAATTTTAAATTGTTTTGATGTGTGTGTGTGTGTTTGGGGAGGATGTTAAATACTTGTAAATGAGGCCACACTGGAAAGGCAGGGTCATCATGGGACTGCGCCTGCCCATAGAGGTTTAAGGCTGGTTGGTGGGGGACCTAAATGAAGGGGCTTGTGCTCTTTCTCAGCAGCTACCATGTCTCCTACTCCGCTCATATCCAGTCAGCTACCCCTTCTAACAGTCTATCAGGTTGTGGGGCACCTCATGGCCCCAGTGTGGGGGGAGCCCTCTGAGGATACGGCTGGACTCCTAGCATTTGAGGCTTTCCTTTGCGGCTCAACGGCAGCCTCTGGGACCAGTGCCCACTGCCTCCTCTAGTCTGAACAATCTAATTTCACCTCAGTGAAGTGTGTTGAGATTTTTTTATTTTTTGCCTCAGGAGGAATGTTGCGCCTTGGCCACCAGCCGACGCCTCCTGCCCAATGATCCCTACTTCTGCTTCCCAAGTGACATGTGTCTGAGGGGACTGGCTTCACCGACAAAAGGAGCAAGGGGTACGTGACAGCAACGCGGACGTCACTGTCGTGTTGTTGCAGAATGTTAGAGATAGGAGAGACCAAGGGGGAAAGAACAGAATTTGCTACTTAGGTGCAGCCTGCGGCGAAAGGAAGGAGGGGGCGGAAACCTGTGGGCTGGGGCGAAACAAACGGGTCTGTACAGCTGGGACAGTTCTGTAACTTTGTACCTCCTGTTCGGGTAAAAGCCGGATGTTAGGGGAACAGGAGGCCGTGACGAGTTACTAATTTCCTAACAGAACAAAGAACGACAGCCAACAGCCATAGGGGTGTACGCGGTAATGTGCTTCGGTTAGGAAAACGCTTGTCTTTGTTTTTTTTGGTAGGCGGAATCGAACTCAAGGTCTCATGCTTGCGCAGGCGCAGTGCTGTTGAGCTCCAGTCCGGGCCCTGGAGTCCGGCTTTACAGTCCGACCACAGTACTGTACCGCTTGCTTCTGCGCGCGCCGCAGGCCTCAGTGCCCCACAACCGCGGCCACCCCAGCGCCTCCGCACGCCCGGGGAACGTGGCCGGCCCCAGGCTTAAGTGAACTGGAGGATGAGCTGGAGTCGGAGGACGAGAGCGCTGTCCCCGGCCCTGACAGAGCAGGGCCGGCCCCGGCAGAACCAGTCATCCGCAGACCCTGCTGAGTTCTTGCTGACGGAGCCTGGCCTCCTGCAACTTGCAGAGCCCAGCCCAGGACAGCCGAGACGCTGGTCCTCCCGGGTCCTAGAGCGGCCGCGCAGGACCCTGGGGGCGGCGCGCGTGCAGGCCCGGCAGCTGAGAGGCGGCGGGTGTTGGGCCGCTGAGGGGACGTGGTGGCGGCCGGATCCAAGAGGAGCCGAAATGCCAGCCTTCCCAGGTCCTAGAGCGACCGCGCGGTGCCCTGACGGCGACGCGCGTGCGCGACCTGGGGCGGAGGAGTGAGGAGAGCGGCGGCGGCATGAGGCGGTGTCGGTTGAACAGCCGGTAGGGGTAGCGGGGACGGCGCCGGGCTAGGGGGCGGTCCCCGGCACGCCGGTGGCTGCCTCGGGGAGGCAGGTCTCGGGGGGTTCTCCGCGCCCGAGGAGCCCCAGTGCGTGGGCGGCAGGGCAAGGGCCGCTGCGCGGTCTCGGCCTCCGCGCGCGTGTGTGCAGGAGCTTCGGACCTGCGATCCCGCTGCTCCGCTGCTGCTCAGCACGCAGAGTTTTACTATTGCGGTGGGACGATATCGGGTAAGACCCAGCGTTTGCCGTACAGTACCTGCAGACGAACCTTCCTAGCCACCGAGAAATGACTGAGCCGGGGCGTTGCTTTAGCAGACTCAGATTGACCGGGGACACAGGAAACACGGCGCTACTTCGGAAACGTGGAGGGAACCCAGCTTTATTAGTTGGCTGGCCCAGTGGGTCTGTGCACTCTAAATTCTGGGCCCTGAGTAGTGCAGAAGGGGAAGGCTTGTAGTCTGGTTTAAATAGGGTTGGGCTGGGGTCTAGCGAAGTGGAATTTCATGCAAGCAGAAGTTTTACAGGTGCTTTGTCTTGAGATTAGGGGATTTGAGAGACAAGTTAATTGGAACATTTTGTGATTATATATATTGTGGTTACAAGACCAGCATAGACCATTTCGTGTTGAGAGGGGTTGTGGGGTCCTGCACCGTGAGGCAGGAAGTCGAAACTGGTAAAAACGGGTAAGGAAGCTTAAGGTTCTTGTTAGAGTAAACTGAGACGGGGTTGGGTCTACCAAAGTCAGGGGAAGTTGAACATTAAGCAAAGTTTATTCCAGCGTGGGTGCAGGCGGGCTAAGGGTAATTAGACCTTTGGCTCTGAGGGACTGGTTGGGGAAGGTCTTGTAGGAGTAGGGATACCTCCTACAAGTACTTGGATAGGGGAGGAGTGGGAGATTTTTAGTCTGGGCCTGGGGAACTGGGATTCTTGGTGACATCCATGCCTTGCAGGTTGATCTACTTTGCCAAGCACCAGCTCCCAACAGTAGTCTCTTGTGTCTGTCTCAGTGGTTCTGCTCAGGGATTTTTTTTTTTCCCCTCTGTCCTGGCGGAAGTTCTGACTTTCTTTGCTACCATTAGGTGCATTCGTGCTACTGCTCTTTAAAAACCGGCAGAGTGCATTTCTTTTTTCTAAAATAGCTGTGGGGAGTTCAAACCCAGGGCTTCGTGCATATTAAGTGCTCAGCCACTGAGCTGTGTCCTGAACCCCGTTTGTTCGTGTTTTGGTTTAAATTGCTGCTGGTGTTTCCCTCACTCAGGCAGGTCTACCAATCCCTGGGCCTTGTCCATGCGAGCACAGCTTACGAGGTTTACCTCACTCACTGGGTCAGTGCAATAGAGACAGGCCACAGGCAGGCCGGCTTCCCAGTAGTGTGCGAGCGACACCAACTCACTTGATCCCACTTCCTTTTGTTTTTCCCACACTTCCTTCTTTTTGGGGTGCTACATCCTCCATGTGTGTATTCGTTGAGTGCACTTCCTTTGCTTTTACTTTAGGACTGCACATGTGTCTAACCAGCATGCGTCAGTTTTTAATCAGATGCATGAACTTTGGTGCACACCTGTAATCCTAGCCCTCTGGCGGCTGAAGGAGGATCACTTCAAGTTGGAGGGCCAGCCTGGGCTACGTTGTGGGCTCAAGGTTGGCCTGAACTTCAGAGCAGGACCCTGTCTCAACCAAAATAAATAAATAAATGAACAAAATTATGATTAACCAGTAAGACTGCAAGTATACTCACTCAGGTAATATCGATCCAATGGTAGCAAGAGGGTGTGGGTGATGTCATTACCCTGGGTCAGTGATCTGTAGTCAGCCTTGTTTTTAGTCTGAGCAGTCTTAGTCTTAGTATTTCAGACAGAGCAATTACAGAACTCTGTAATCTCACCGGAATAGCAAGCTCTTGGAAATGTGGTGTAGCCTGAGGCCTGTTACTTCTTACCAGCCAGGTGGTTTAGTGTGGAATCCCTGCAGAACATCAACAGACAACAGTTACACAGTTTTACAGAGAAAACTTGAGGTAAATAGCCAGATAGCATGATAATCATGATATCTTTGAAACATTTAAATGTCTAGTTTATGATAAATTAGCCATTTTAGTCGGACATCTACATCTGATCACATGCTATTAAATGACACAAACTCATCTAATTTGTCACCCTTTAATAGGATGTCATCTAAGGAGAACATAGTGGCCCGTAAGTGTACCTGAGAAGTTTGCAACATCTAGCCTCTAATTTTAGTGTGTGACTTTGGCCAGACTTGCGCCTGGGCTCTTAAATGTGGTGATACAACATATGCATAAGCTTTAAAAATCTCATCGGACTGGTGGTCATGCATTGGTTTGACATCTGCCTCTTATCACAAGTAACTGGAGCACAAGAGAAAGGTAGATGTATGAGTCTTGAAAAAGGTTATCACCATAAACAATACTGGTTTTGTCTTACAAGACCTGCACCTGGAAGGCATGGATATACTTGGTGCACTGCGCAATTAATAGTAATGAATGTCATAGCCAAGTGTAAACCTGTGTCTTTTAGTTTCACATCGGGGCATCTTTTAAAAAGAAAACCTTATATGCCCACAAAAACTTAACCTTTTGATGATAATAAACATAGTACAATAATATGCTTATCAATGTTTATTGAGGTGTGTCTTCCATAAGGCTGTGGAAATCATTGGGATCTCGTTAGTGAAAAAAAGACTGGAAGAAAATATTTCCAGGCAGCTGCTGCTTTGTTTAACCAAGGGGATACCTGTCCAGCAGTTTCCTTGGGCCTAAGGGATCCCCATTGTTTTAACAGAATTTTGACATCCTCTGAGAACCAGATCATAACTGCATTCTGTCTTGGCATTCAGAGGTAAACCACTGGGGGTTAGATCTCTACTAGTGCTTAGGAAAATATTCTAAGGGAGTGCCAGGGTAGCACCTGCCTGGTAAGCACAAGTTCATGAGTTGGATCCCGGGTACCAAACAAATACATTCCAGGGGAGTAACACATTACTTTTGACCAATGAAATGTTTTTGAGTTATTGTACACAGACAATAGTATGTATTGTATTTGTTTAAAAAGTTTTTTTTTTATTTAAAGAAAGACAAAACAAAATAGAAAACAGGCAGAAATAGTACATACTTTCAAAGAAAAGAAATAAGCAGTAATAAATCACTAGTTGATGTATACATATTGTCCCCCCACAAATAGTTGTTCAAGATACACAACTGGAACATATAAATGGGAATTCAACCAGGGAGACTGTGAACAGTTCTTTTCAACTATCCAACAAAAACTAAGTACTATGGCTATCAATCCTATACACTTAGACATGTACGCATTTATCCATATCTTCATTTATGAGACCTAACACAAACTTAATAGGTTAAAATCCTTCTGAACAAAGATTAATAATATTGCTGGATTTCACATAACAACACTCCAGAATCAGCACTGGGTACTGCAGTGCCCCTTCCTTTTCTTCAAAGTATTTGTTCATTTAATCATGTGTCATCAGATCAGTTCTCACAAACTTTATAGGTTTTACGTAAGCATGTATTTCTATCCTTTCTATATTAGAGGGAGAAACAGAACAAAGCAGGACAGAACTAAACTTTTTCCTATAGACATATAAATCTGCTGTATAAGGAGTTCTACCATGGTCACTGTGCTGTTGTTGTCATCAACAGAATTGGCTATATCATCCGATAAAGTATGATTGAACATATCAATACATAACAGGATTAGCAGAAATACAACTTTCTAGATAGTATAGAGCTGCAAAAACAGCTAGTAATCAAATCAGAATGGATATCGTAGTGAATCATTGTCATTTTCAGTATAGTTGTTTATATTCCTCAACTTGATACCATCAACCTTAAGTTTTGAATAAAATCTGTCAATAAGCAGCAATCAAGTCAGATTTTAACTAAGATCAGTCATGATACAACAGTATAAGTCATACAGGGATCCTGATTGAGTTAATAGGAAATAAAGATGACCACTGTGCTATGTCCTGATATCTTTGTGACAGCTGTCTGTGCCCCTCAGATCCAGTGCTTGTATACAAACTAGGCCGGAACAAGTTCCAACCAAGTAGAGTGGTACGAGTAATAGGGATTTTAATTCCTGATACACTATTAGCTATATTTTCTGCTTTTTTTTTTTTGAAGACTATTCCTCCCCTTTACTCCCCCAGAATGAACTATGTATTTTTGGGTCTCCCCAACACTCATGGTTTTGTATTGTGGGAGGCAACCTGCTATTTACCTAAGTTTCTGAATTTTCTCACTCCTGGGCTGGATATCTAGTTATATTTCTTCATTTATTAAAGCCTGTCTGTTCAACCTATCCATAAATACTGGTCTAGTTAGCCCTATTACTCTCTGGTTCCCTATCACATCAAGTTCCGTTTTCTCATGTGATTTTGGTCCATATAACCTTCAGGCTAATTATATTTCCTATAAAGAGCCTCTCGGTGTACCCTATCTCTTGATTTACTCTGCCTGCAATTCTCTTTTTCCCTTATGTTAGTGTATCTAGGCCATCTATATTAGAAATTATATCCAACCTTTTTTTCATTTCTGTTGACCTCTTTTTTCTGTCATTAGTTGTCAGTTTGTCTTCTTCATTTCGCTTTCTGCTCCATTCATTGTGGCCTCTCTGCCACTGTTTCTGGAATCTTGGTACTTTTCTCTTTTAGAATGTCCTGCAGTATTCTCTGTAGAATTGAATTGGTGGTTGCAAATTCCCCCAGTTTCTCTTTATCTTGGAATCACCTTGTTTCTCCATTAATTTCTAGGGACAGTTGTGCAGGATATATCAATCTTGGCTGGAAGTTATTGTCTTTCAAAGCTTGGATTATTTTACCCCACACTCTTCATGATTTGATGGTTTGTGCCAAGAAGTCTGCTATAATTCTGATGGGTGTTCCCTTGTAAGTGATCCGTTTCTTGTCTCTGATAGCTTTTAATATCCTGTTCTTACATTGCAT